AACTATTTATCTTTCCTATGAACAGAAAAATTCCAGAATAAAAAAATTCATCTCGTGGCAATTTTGTTTTAAGGCTGCATGACCTAACCTCTTGAAGGAACACCAAGACTTATGACTGGGAATTTATATTTGAAACAAAAGACCCCAGCCCTGCAACTCAGGCAAGAGGGCTTAGTCCATGACACAGACTCTTGTTGCTGGGCTCATCTCTCCCCACACCATGCGGTGCCATTCCATACTCCCAGGGATGCCCTGTTACGTATCTCTTTATTCCAGAACAGTTTGGCTCACAACAGCCAGGCTGAGGGGAGAGATTAGCCCCTTCTCTTCAAGTCCTACCTGCCTGCCCCCCAGTATAGAAATTACACACACAAAACAAGTGAAAAGAACATTCAGGTTGCAAAGCCAAACATTCAAAAGAGAGGAAATGCATCCCCACCCTTGTCTCCACCTCATCCTACCCCCATCTCCTTCTCCCAGTGCACCCCACCACAAAAGTCTTTCCATCCCAGTCCTCCTACCATGCGCCCTCCCCCGGCCCAGCTCCTCACCCCTCTGCAGCCTGGTCAGGCTGCAGCATCTCTCCCCCACTTAATCCCAGCACGGGGGCACTGAGAGCACAGGAGAGACAGGCTCCCTGCACTTGGCTCTGGTGGCCACACCACAAAAGCTCCTGGAAAGTCCTGCTCAGTCCCTGCATCCCTGGAAGGGAGCATGCTCCATTGCTTTGGGGATGGCCCATGCGCCATCTGGTTGGTACATGGGAGCTGTGAGAGGATGGTGCTTGCTCCATCTAGTGGGGTCAGCAGGCAGGAGCTGCAGGGATGGCCATGCTCAGGGAGTTGTGATTCTGGCATCCCTTGATGCTTCTGAGGGCCGTCAGGAGCGGCTGGAGTACACAATGCCCATAAAAGTGCCTGGGGTCTAACAGGGCATTGTGGACGGTTACACAGCTTCTTGCAAAGCCACATGCACAGAGGGTTCATGGAGGTAACCATCTCCTACAAAGGTGGCCCTAATATGCAGGGGGCGGTGTGAGCTACCCAGACGGGGAGGACAAGAGCAGAGTGGCTGGAAGGGGTGGTCCATTGATCCATGAAGGTCCAGGCAGAGTGGAATTACCAGGAGGAGCTGGTGGTTGCTCATGTGTCCGAGCTGCTTCAGTGACACTCCACGGTGCAAACTGCAGCCCTGAGCATGTTCCTGGTGCCCTGCCGAGGCTGGGTGACAATGGCATGACCAGCAGCCCCTGAGGCAAAGTGCTGTGAATCATATGGCAAGAGCAAGAACCTCAGAGTGGCACAGCAGTATCTCTGGGCAGTGCCAACTCCGAGCACCACTCACTTTGCACCAGTGGTTCGTGCTTCGCTTTGCGGATGATCGGGGACACTAGGTTTGTGCATTGTGTCCAGCTGTCCAGGGGAGAGGAGCTGACCTATGGAAGCAGCTCCATGTAAAATATCTAGGGCATTGCTCACCTGCCCATGGATTTCCATGGCGGTACAGCAGGAGCAGTGCCTGACCCAGCCATAGGGATTCAGGGGAGAAGATTCCCTACATGAAACCTGAGTGATGGGAGGGCAAACTTCCCCCGTCCTGGGTTAGAAAATATCTTTCTTCCCCCAGCAGAAAATCTCTGCAGGAAACGCCGTCAGACCCCACTGTGGGAGCGCTTGTCTCTGCAGCAGAGCAGAGGTCAGGCTAACCATGCCTAGCTGGGAGAAGCTGGATCTGATTCTAATTGTGGGGCACTGCACTGGACACCTGTGTCAGATATGTAAGCATACATAATCCATTGTGTTGCAGAACCTAACACAGCCAGTGCAGCTGGGCTCTTCCGCAGCTCACGGCGGGGACGTTTGGCAATCACCTGGTGTCACGGAGACAGTCTAACTTGCACATCTGTTATTCTGGGCAGGGTCCAGCCTGCCAGGGGTTAAGGCTCATTAGAATCATTCTTTTTGGTTTGGCTTCGTTTTGGGTTTCGTGATTTCAATTATTGCTGTGTGAAATGACTTGCAGGCAGTGGAGGTGGGGGCTGGCGAGCGGGGGGTGAAGTGTGGTTGTCCCAGATGGGGGCTAATTGGAAGCAGCCGCAGCAGCAAGTGCCGAATGGCTCTTTAAAGGCTCTAGGCGCAGCCTTGAAGATTTTGTCACTCCCGAGCTGTAAACATTCTGCATGAGGCTGGTGGGCTGGAGCGTGTTACCAGTAGGTGCGGGAGGAGGCTAACAGCAGGTCTCCCGTGTCTCTTGTCTTTCCTGGGCTATCATCAGCTGAGCTAAGGGTAACAGGCACCACTCGTGCTGTCCCCTCCCCGACTGACAAGTCAGCGTTGAAGTAAGAGCGTTCTGATTTTCTGACAAAGCTGATTAACTGCAGGGAAATGTGAGAATTAATTAACAGGGAAAGGAGGATGATCTGGTTGCATTGACCGCCTGCAATGTGGGTCGTCAACTGGACTGGAACCTTCGCTTCCAAAGCAGCAATGGTGAAATTGCCACGGGCTGCTAGATGGAGATGTGTGAGTGCGACAGGCATGTCCTCCGGTGCCACTGGCTCCAGGGTAATGCATCTCCAGGCACTGTCTCTGATAGGTGAGGCCATCAAAGGATTTTACAGAAAAGTCCAGCTTAGGTGGAAAGACTCAGAGTTTTCCCCTTCCTCTGAGCTGGCTTCTCCAGTATGTGGGGACATCGCTCTCAAGGGGTGCTGCGACCTGTGTGCTGAATTGCAGAGAAATCGGATCTAGGGCATTTATCAGGCACCTTTCACCACTTCACCTGAGATCTCTGCAAGGTCCTGTGCTATTGACTTTAAAACGGTGACATGTGTCTGAGTAGTTTTCTGTAAGGCCCGATCTCTGTTGGTCAGTCACGGACACCAGTGCCAAGTGGGTGCTGAGTCTATAGCATCGTACACCAGCTTTGCGCTGGCAAAGGGACTGTGCAGGATGACAAAGAATGAGGCCCATATAGTTTCTGGGTGGGCTTGATCCTGCACAAGGAAGGTGCACATCGCAGGCAGGCATACAAGGGGGCCTGAGGCTTTCTTCAGCCTAGAGCTACGCCTAGTGCTTCACCATACATACATTCACACGTAGCCTCCATCTGCACTGAAATGTACCATCCTTGGGCACCCTGCTCTACACATAAGAACATAGGAACAGCCAGGCTGGGTCAGACCAAAGGTCCATCTAGCCCAGTGTCCTGTCTTCCGACAGTGATCAATGCCAGGTGCCTCAGAGGGAGTGAACAGAACAGGGAATCATCAAGTGATCCATCCCCTGTCGCCCATTCCTAGCTTCTGGCAAACAGAGACTAGGGACACCATCCCTGCCCATCCTGGCTCATAGCCATTGATGGACCTGTCCTCTATGAATTTATCTAGTTCTTTTTTGAACCTGTTATAGTCTTGGCCTTCACAACATCCTCCACACAACAAACGACAGGACCGAGGCCTGAAGTGTGCCACTTAAATTCAGTGATACTTTCCAGAACACCGTAGAGCTTGGGAAGGGATTGAAACCCACCTGCTTCGGGGCACAAACCAACCTCTCATTATTGGGGGTCAGGAAGTAACTTTGCTAGAGGGCAGATTACCCCACATCTGTCTACTGCAGGGCACTTGCACCTTCCTCTGAAGCAGATGGTCCTGGCCGCTGGACAAGATGGATCCCTGTGCTGATCCAGTCCGGCTAGTCCTGTGTTCCTCTATTTGAAAGATGTGCAACAGTTAATATGCTCAGTTATGAAATTAGGGTGATATTGTACATAGCCATTAATTATTCATAAATAATATAATTTGCGCTCTCTGAGTCTATCACTAGAAGGCAGGTTTTCTAATCCGTTAATCATTCTTGTGGCTCTTCTCTGAACCCTCTCCAGTTTATTGACATTCTTCTTGAATTGGGGGCACCAGAACGGGACACAGAAGTCCACCAGTGCCAAATACAGAGGTAAAATAACCGCTCTGCTCTTACTCGCAAGTCCCCTGTTTATGCATCCCAGGATCACATGAGCTCTTTTGGCCACAGCATCACATTGGGAGCTCAGGTTCAGCGGTTATCCACCAGGACCACCACATCTTTTTCAGCGCCAATAAATAGCACTTTGAGATCAGTCTAAATGATCTCAAATCCAGTCAGAATGGCAGCTGTGGTCGTCAGGGTACTGTGCAGCCTTTCCCTCTACTCACGTGCAAAGGTGAATGTGAAGGACAATTCTCATACGTGGATTAAGTTTTTAAAACCCAGAGTTAGAGCAGGGCAGCCTGCAGTTCCCAGCTAACAAAGAAGCCTGACAAATGCTAGCTCCCTATTTCTTTATCAATGGCTTCATTAAATAGAGGCACAAAACCCGCATCTGAGAGGTCTTCCCTTCCTAGAATCCTAGAATCTCAGGGTTGGAAGGGACCTCAGGAGTCATCTAGTCCAACCCCCTGCTCAAAGCAGGACCAATCCCCCACTAAATCCTGTACAATAAGGAAGGATAAGTAGGAATTAAGGGAATTTCAATAAGCAGTTGATGTGGATGCTTCTCAGGGGAATGGCACGTGAATTACTGAACACTGGTGAAACACTCTGTCCATTACAGGTCATGAGAGCAGGAGACGGTCTCTGTGCAGCACTGACATGTTTTAAAAATAATAAAGCTCTGAGCTGCAATGTTTCCTATTCAGTCCTGCGTTCCTCCAGGCAAGGCTTTGCCTTTGGTGACCCCAATGGTTCGTGGATCTGCCCCTCCCTGCTCTCAGCCCTTTGTCCCCAGGCTGAGCCAAAAGTAGTCTCCTGTCCTAGTGCACAAGACACAAGAAAGGTGTTGTGTTCCGTGTGCAATATCAGCACTCTGCTGTTTCCAAAGGAGTGAGACCCACCTGGCTGACTTGTCTCTGTGGGTGGAGGCCAGGCCAGGGTCCACGGAACCACATGGTACAAGTAGGTGAGATGCTTCATTGGCTGCGCCGCTCTGTGGTGCAAACTCCAAAGGCCGTGGCTGGGGCCAGGAATCTCAGCCCTTCCGAAAGGCAGCTCTCTGCAGCAGGATAAGGAAATAACTCTGCAGAGCGTGCTATTGAATCATCGGCACCCCGAGCAGCGTCAAGACCTTCGGAGCACTTTGTGAGTGAGAATTTCCTCTGCCAGGAACACAGCGCTCATACACAGCAGGATCTCAGCCTCTCGCTGCCACAGCCTGGCCTGACGCCTGCTTTCAGCTCACTGGAATGAGTACAAATGGGCTCTCCCAGCCCCCTGGTCATTTATGCTCCTGCTGAGAGGTCTGCGCTCCCCTATTTCCTCACCCAGGGATTGCTAATGGGGTGAAACCCTCCCCTGTGCAGGGGGCCAGCAGGAGGCCGAGCTACCCCTAGAGTGCCACATTAGTCATTTCTGCCACTGCATCTCACTGAAGCCATCGCACCACCTATGGACTACTTACAAGGTCTGTGCACCACATATGTCTCACAAAACCTGTGATTAGCAGCCAAGAGGCTGATCAGCACTCAGGGAACCCACAGGGCTAACACGGTGCCAACATGACGCTCCACATCTGCAAGGAGAGCAGGATTTAATGGGCTCTGTTTGCTGGGAGGGCTGCCAGCCGTGGGGGGAGGCTGGGGAGTGGGTGTGCTCTGGACAATCACACAGGTGTGAAGAGGAGAAGTGGAAGTTCTCTCATTGGGCATCTTCCCTGGATCATTGTTAGGGGCGACCCAGTCCTCAAGGCTCAGGTTAGTTTTTGGTTGTTTTCTTTTAAATAGCCTCCATACCTCTCCCATCATTTCCAGAGGGTCCCTGGATGCTGAATGAATAAGGAATGGATGCATCGCCTCACAAGAACTGTGATTAGCATCCAAGAGGCAGATTGGAACTCAGGGACCCCATGCAATAAAAGCCAGTCACAAGACGGAGTTGCAGATGCTGGTAGGTTGTGTGTTGTCTACTGTCACCCAGCTCACATCTGTCGAGAGCTTGCCACAGCCCCCCGTGGAACCCTTTGCTTTAACTCAAGAATCTCTCTGTTGCCCCAAAGGCCTGGTTCACCACAGCCAGGATTTGCTGTCGTTCATCAAGTCACGAGACAATCTGTCTCCCTCTGGGGATTAGACTCCAGGAAAGTCTGAGCGTGGTGGGTTTCAAAAGGCAGGAGTTTCTCTGTGACTTTGAAGAACTTCAATCAATCAACTTTTCCCACCCTCCCTTAGGGCCAGGCTCAGGTTCTGCTCAGCGGCGGGGCAGGTTGCGGGGTTCTGGATCAGTTCATAACCCATTACATTCCAGCAGCTCAGCTCTCCTAGGCAGCAGCCCAGTGTTTTGAAGCCTCTGCAATTCCCAGCATGCCCAGCCCTTCCTCAGACAATGCCCACCCCATTCTGCATCCCTTGGGAGGAGCAGGAGGAGACAGAATGCTCCTCTCTCTTCAGATTGTCTTTAACCTGCAGGCTATAAATTGCCCATTGTGGCATTGCTGAGACACTGCTTCCTCTGCAGGCAGTGCAGGGATCCAGGCCACCTGTCCCTGGTGCATATAGCGGGATCCACTGGCTTCTACAAAGTAGTGATCTTTGTAGATGTCTGCCAGAATGCCATCAGTACCCCAAATCTGAAGCCAAAATACAGATGACCCAGGGACTTGCTGTTGGGGATCAGAAATATTCTTCTCTCTCCTTTATTTTGCTCTGAATGGAGTTTCTTCCATTCCCACTACCCTACACTCTGCTCTGGCTTCCATTCTTCTCCGAGAGCTAGGCTTTGCAGTGTTCAGCCCTGGGGAGCCAGACAGGACTCCCCAAGACCTGTCCTGGACTGGCCAAGTGGGGCCTTTCAGAAAAACACTGAAGCCTAAGGCAAGAGCAAAAGCAAAGGAGGGACTTCTCCTGATGTTATTTGGGATCCAGCAACAAGCAAAGCCCCGGACATGCGATGTGCTCAGCCCAGTTACTGCACCCCCCATGCCACCAGCTTCGGGTGCCCGTATCACTGAGCTAAAGAAAGAAGGGTGGGGAGGTGGGTTGGACAAGAGATCCAATAAACAACGCGGGAAGCGTGAAGGAGCTAATGTGAACTTCACTTTTTTACCATGTACTCCCACAAGCCCAGCTTTGTGACTCAGTCTTTGGGGTGTGAAGTAACATGCCCTATAATAAGACCCTGCAATCACCCTTATAATCATTAATGCTGACCAGGAGACTACTGGAAGGGAGGTAACACAGCTGGAGAAACTTGGACCGTATCATGCTCTGTCAACGTGCGGCTCCTTCCAAATCACAATACTTTGCAAAATCAGGTTAATTTCACTGGGATTTGGGTTTGGAAGAAGACTTGGCGGAGGGGGTGGGGGCTGACCATGCTGAAATCTAATGATTTCACATTTTTGGAATGAGAGGTTTTGATTTTTGATTTTGAATTTTTATTATGTCTTATATCACATGATACAAACTTTTTTAAAAAGTTGAACTTGAAACTAAATATTTCGATTTAGATCGACTTGACACAGTGTTTTCCTGAATTTTCCTTTGTAGGGAATTTTGAAATCATTGGCTTTGGTTCCAACTGGGAAAGAAGCCAAATTTGAAAAACTCTAAATCCTTTGGGAAATGGAACGTCCATCTCCTGCACAGCCCTGGGAGATAAAACCTCCTGCTTCCAGGTAGAAACCTACCCCTAACTATTAGGGGTTAGAATAAGAACTTCATGGGGCAGATTATCCCACCTCTGCCTGCTGTGAGTCTGATCCTGTCTGGCAATTGAAAAAGAAAGATAATACCAGCTCCATGTGAGAGGCTCAAGATGTGGAGCAGCTGGAAAATGACCTTCCATTTGCAGCTCTTCAGCTTAGATGAGGGAAAAATTCTTGGCTTCCTAATTCTGCCTTCAAGGGACTCCCATCCTAGAGCTTCATACTCATGGCCTGACCATGCCAGCCTCTTTTAGAAATATATGCTTTTCTCCTAGCCTCCATTGCATGGACCGTAGGCCAGGACTACGCCCCACATACTTCTGCCTTCGAGATCTACTGGTCTTGGGTCTGACTCTCTGGGACCAGCATGTTTTCTCTTCAAATAAAATTGATTTTGAACACTTGGATGGTGCATAGCACAGATACTGCACTCATGGGGGCCCAGTGTACCTATCCATTGGGGGAAACAAGTCACATATACCTGGTTGCTAGGAGTTGGAGCCGGAAGCCTGGGTTACAAGTGACTTGGCTGTGAGGAGTTGGCCCTGGCTGCACGTTACCTGGACATTAGTGACATTTATCAACTTATTAGGAGCAGACAGCGCATCATAAAAGTCTCCAAAATAAACACTTTTTTATTTTTATTTTATTTTATTTTTTTGCAAGTTAAGCTTTTTTGCTCTAACCAGGAACAGATGTCTGAATCGGCTCATGAATTGGAAACATCTGAAACAACTTTCCAAGCTGAAGTATAATAAATATACCTTTCATCACAACCCCTCCACGAGGGTTTTTAAAGGCACTGTGTTCGGTGGGCCTGTGCTCTGGAGCAGCATTATGACAAATGAACCCAATTACAGTCCTGGGTCGACCACTGTTCGAGTTACTTTCCCAGCACTGCAGGTATCACCTTTACAGCCTGGACTGGGGCCTTGGCCTCCTGCCATCCTTCCCCAGATTTCTGCTCTTTAGCCTGATGATGCCAGCCTCTGCTCTGGGGGAAGTGAGGTAGAAAAAGCGAAGCTTCTCCTTCGGGAGAAGGAGTGTGTTGGGAGATGCATCTGAGTGCCCGGTGCAGCCGGATTCTCCTCTTGCTGCGCCCGGTGCTGCCCTGGAGTCTGGGGTGTCAGTCTTATGTGAGAGCAGCATGGGAATCAAGCCCTAGATGTTTCAATGGGTGATACCTTCCAGGTTGTGTGGGCTCAATAGCAAGGAGGAGCCACTGGGCTGATAAGGCTGGATGAGGCACTATCTGACTCTGATTTCCCTCTACCACCTGTTGTAGAGACTTGTGGTACTGGGGCCAGTCATACGCTAAAGAATTACACTTTGTAATGTATATGTCATGTCTGTATCCTCTGGCTTTCACAGCTGCATACCAAGGAGAATGGACAGGAAAGCTCAGAGTTTGGGACCCTTCAGTCCCAAGAACAGGGTCAGATCCTGATGTCTCAGTGGAAACTGATGATGCTCATTCCCTTCTGGGAGGCACTCAGCCCTTCCCAGGACTGCATCCCACCCGGGACACAGCAGAAGCATTGCAGGGCAGCACATTCGTTGCTGATTGTGGATGTTCTGTTTCTGATTTTGGCAGCATTCACTTCTGGACGGGAGAGAAACAGTCAACAAAGCATCATAGTGGGTTAGTGCGAGAAACATCTCAAAGCCAGGGGGGACTTTCTGGCAAAGTTAAAATGGCCACGATTCTTGCTGTTGATCTCACAGCCTGGCTAGCTGAGACTCTTTCAGCAGGAATCGCCAGCAGGAGTTCATTTTTCCATGTCCTCACTTGGTTTATTCCACTTAGCAAAGTCAGATTCTGTTAGTTTCTTTTAAATCACATTTATTTTGCTTTGGGAAAATGAAAACCAACTTTTCCCCTCAAAATTAATGTGGCTTGTACAGGATTTGAGGGTCAACTTTTCAAGCAGGAATGAAGTTGTCCATCCGTAATGTGTACAAGTACTGGCAGGTAGCAGCATTTGTCCACAGGAACTGGGTATTAGGACACGCACATGTGCTCAGTCAGCAAAACTGGTACAGGTGCTTGCAAAGGGAGCCTAGCTGGTGTGCACTGAGGGTGAAATTCACCCCTGGGCAGAATTTATGGACCACTTCAGAGCCACTAAAATCCTCCCAACAGAGTTCTGTTGGACTTGGCTTTCACTGGCAACTTGTGTGAAGCTTTGGCCCTTAAAGTGACAGCACAGAATCACACAATCATAGCACTGTAAGGACTGGAAGGGACTTCAGTAGGTATCTATGCCCCTGCCTGAGTTGGGCTGTGAATCCCTCTTGTTGCTGTCACTTCCATACACACTCCTCCCAAGCCCCTTCATTTCCCTTCTTTCCCAGTTTTCTGTAAAGACCTTCCCCCACCCACCCCCGGCCCCGCCCTCCAGCACTGAAGCCCAGGTACACGGGTGAGTGCTGGGCGGTGGATGGGCTATGTTTAACCCCCCACTTGTCAGCTCCTATGATGTGCAAAGCCAGGTAGCACCCGGAGAGATACCTGGTTGCAGCAATCAGCATTTAAAATGTCAAGTTTCCCTGGTCTGACTGCGATAATCCAGCTCCTCCTGCCCCCTGGGTTGCTGCCAGGTGGGGGCACTGCCCGGGCCAGCCATGCCTTGTGTTCTTTGCAGCCAAATGGCGGGAGATTCAATTCCTCTGGCTGCTTCCAGGGCTGAGGATAGGGATTCCCCTCCCCTGCCTCCTGAACAAAGCCATTCTTCATCTGGGCAGCCTTTGGAATCCCAGTACTGTTGTAATGAGCCTGGGAGTTAGTTGTCTTAGCCCCTTCCTCAGCTCCCTGTGGGTGTAGATAAGATAAATAAGAGCAAGCATGGCCCATTACATAAGGTTCCTTTTCGGTTAATGCTTCCCAGCCCTAGGAGTGTCCAGTGCCTTACATTTTCCAAGAGGAACATGCATTGCGGTCACAGATGGTGCAGTTCTGTGCATTGCTGGGGATAAGGTTTGCTAGTGGAACTGCTAAACAGGCACACAGGGAAAAGAAAAGGAAAGGATCTGCATTGCAATGGCCTTTACTCTCCTGCCTGTGGCCATTAGGTAGTGCCCGTAAGCACGTAGCAGAAGGGTGGAGATGCATCGCTTTCTGGGAAGTAGTGAGTATTGTCACTATTCCCAGCTCCCATTCCAAAGAAACCCTCAGTTTATCACTCTCTTAAATAGCTTTGGGGAGGGAGAGCCTGCCATTCTGGAGGAGTAGAAGGGATGGGGAAGTAGTTTGGAGTTCTGACCATGCCTCATTGGCTCAGAACCGACTTCTGAGCCTCGCCTTGCAAAGACAGAGAGACACGTGAAACCCTGCTGCTGTGTGGTATCTGTACAGGCCCCCTCATCCCTCCTCCCACCAAGGCATCCTCTGACAGCCAGCAGGACAATCTGAATCACTATCCCCAGTAGCTCAGCAGGTAACTATTGATTAAGTTATGTAGCGTTTCCATTTGGCTCTAGCCACAAGTGCAGGAATTAAACAAGGGAGCCTACAAAGAACTGCCACCATCCAAGACAAGCCACTCTTGCTACTCTCTCAGAAAAACCTGGGGATAATAAATGGAAGTTGTTGTTGTTTGCTACCTTTGCTGTCTGGTTAGAGCTTTAAAGAAATCAGAAACAGCCATCCAGGTGGGTGCCTGGGATCTGAATTTCTCACTGAGTGTCAGACCACCACGGGCAGAATGCAAATAACCTTGTGGACTAATTTCTTCGACACTCGCTGCAGACGAAATCTCCCCACCCTCCAGACCAGACAGTACCGCAGGACCCTGGGCCATTAGGAGTTGCAGGAACATGGAGCAAACATGCTGCTGTGTTTGGCCAGTGAGTGAAACCTGATAACCAGCAGCCTCCACTCCTAGTGGCTGTTAAACACAATGTGCAGCATTAGAAACAGCAGCACCTTAGTGCACTTAAGTTGCAAAAGGCTCACAAAATTAACCAGCTGCCCTGATGTGTTACTGCGTGAAAATACGCTTCCTCGCAGCCTGGGGTGAGTCCCATGTGGGAGGGAGGCAGCTCGTCCCTTTCCCAGCTCCTCTCCCTACCCAGCTGAAGTCCCCTTAGGGCTTGTCACATGGAACAAACAGTCTCAAGACACGGATGCTGAGTGTTCTAGTCCTGCCCCTCTGCCCTTGGGGGAAGGTGATGGACACACAGTAAGGGACTGTCCCTGCCCACTTGAGACAAAGGATGAGAGATGGGGTGGGGGGTTATCACCCAGGCTATGGATTGGAAAGGGAGGCACCAAGTGACCTGCCCAAGGAATTGACCCTTGCTCTCTGGGGCCTTGTCCGCCAGACCATCCTTCCTCTTTTCATCACAGACTGCCAGGGTCTGGGTGTCCCGGTGCGTGGGTGGCCACTCTCTCAGGCCGAGGCTGTGCTGTGCCAGAACTGTGCACTGTGCATCCTTGGTGCCGGTGCGGGGTCACAGCCACCCTCGTGCGTCCACCCCACCGCTCCAGGAACACTCATTGCCTCCTGCAACCCCCAGAAATCAATAGCTGCTCCAAGTTTCAGAGCAGCAGCCGTGTTAGTCTGTGTCTGCAAAAAGAAAAGGAGGACTTGTGGCACCTTAGAGACTAATCAATTTATTTGAGCATAAGCTTTCGTGTGCATCCGATGAAGTGAGCTGTAGCTCACAAAAGCTTATGCTCAAATAAATTTGAAGTTTGAAATTTGAATTTTGAAAGTTTGAAATTTGAAAGTTTGAAATTTGAATACGTTTGGAAAATGGCTGCCCTTTCTGAACGAAATCCAGCAGAGTTAGGCAGTAGAGACCAGAAGCTCAGCGGATTCTGTACGACACAGGGGGATATTGCTTTTGGAGCAGTCTGCCTGTAGTATCTAATTCTTCCTGTGAGTCACTAATCTGGTGAAAGCCTCCATGGGAGGGGAAGCTGCTCTGATCTTTCATGTGGTTTGAGATTTCCTCGTCTGTACTCCTTCAGAATGGCTTTTGGAGCTGCTGTGGAACAGGCTACAGCACAGGTTAAGGGAGGGGGAAACAGTACGTTCCACCCAACTGCTGAAGGGGAAAATGGAACAAGAAAAGAGAAAACCCCAAAGCATTAGGCAGTATCTAGGCTGGCTGGTTTGCTGCCTTTGTAGCCACGGGAAATGCCAGCACAAAATGGACAAAAACCAGTGCAAGTTAAGGGAACAACCAACCAGGCTTCCAAGCAAAGGCTAGAAGAAGCAACACGAGTTCTGAAACTCACCCCACTTTGTTAAGCCAGGCTGCAGGCAGTCATTTGGCCTGATTCTCATTCACACTAACTCCCTCCTGGGGGGTGTAAAGGGATCTGAAAGTGGCATTAATGTAAAAGTGCCTTTACAAAAATGAGAATGAGGCCCAGGATTCTGATGGGAAAGTCCTACAGAACCAAATGAAAAGAAATGACCTTTCTATGGTTAAAAAAAGGGCACCAGGCAGACATAGTGAGATCCTTTCCAAATTTGAATTAATACTTGTGGAAAGTTCTCTGTAGTATTCATCCTGCTCTGGTCAGCAGCCAGCACCCTGATGTACCAGTGACAGGTGAAGAACAGAAGGGGTGGAGCACTGGTTCACATAATCCCCGCAAAGTGCGGCCTCTTGCACCCTTGAAAGGAGGCTGAAATTCTACGACATGCCTGAAGTCGTGCTGCTTCAAGACTATGTTCTCGTCCAGTGTCACACGCTAAGGGAGACTGGGCCTGGTAGCAGATTATGGAGAATTTATAAGGCTAAGACAGGATATTGGGTGGAAGTGGGTGAGTCAGTAGGCAATGCTCTTTGCGTGGAATCAGCAGGAAACTTATGTTCCAGGATGGTGCCAAGAAGCCATGTGCAGATAAGCCAGCACCTTGAGTGCTTAGATCTTATGCTCAATGACCATATATCAGCTCTGCTCATTACCTTCTTCCTACCTACATTCCAGATTCCTTCCTTCCGGTTTCATTTGGGCAAGTCGCTCCCACCCCAAAGCATGGCACAGTGTTGCCAGTGAAAAATAGCCACCTTGTTTCTAAAACTGCGGCTGCATGGTGTTGGTGCGTGAAGTGACGTGAAGTGAAGTGAAGAGCTTTGTGCTCCGTTGTGATAGTGTCTGAAAAACAAATTAAAAATTAGTAGAACATTATTTTAATTTTTCTTCTCTCTTGCCCCCCATGTGTTGAAAAAAATCAAAATTCTCCACTGAGCTCCAGGCCATTAGGAAGGAAGGCCGCGTGCATGTAAGTTACACAGCACACACACACAAATATCGTTGTCTCCTTGGCTGAGCGGTAGCTGAATTTTGGGGCCTTGCAGGTCAGATTTCCGTGTGGAGCAGAAAGCCATGGCACAGAATCAGAGAGTTTCTCAGTATCATTTGTTTATTTACTCACTGTACCCAAGGCCCAGCAGCAAGGACACATTCTATGCAGGCAGCTCCGCTTTGCAGGAATCCCAGGTAAAGAACCACCCCCACCCCCACCCCCGTCCCAAAAAGTAGCTGTTCTGGGTCCCTACTCGTCTGCAGGGTTTCACTCAAACTCACAGCCGAGCACAGACTGCTTTCTTCCAAGGACGCAGCACACCCAGCTGTCCGGATGCCGCAGAGCAAACTGTTCCAGCCCTCAGCCCCTGAATTTGAAACCGAGAGGGTCTCATTAGCTCCACACCCCGCCTCTGTCTGTGTGGTCTCACCCTCCGGCTCCAAGTGCCAGCCCTCTCCCATGTGTGGGACATTAGCACCTCCTGGAAGAGTGCAATGTCTTTAGAGGGAGTCTTTCCACTGACGGCAGTGAGTTCTGGATAAACTCTTTTGTGGCAGGGCCTTGCTTTACGTTGCGTACGTACAGCATCTAGCACAATAGAGCCCCAGTCTTGGGCCCCTCTGCATGCTGCTATTATGATACAAATGTTAAATAATCCAGCTAATTAGCTCTAGTTCTCAGAGACATCAGCTTGATCATAGACTGATATTGTCCAAAAGGAAGGTCAATTACTCTACCATCGTACATACTGTGCATTCTCCTGTCTGCTTGTCACCATCAGCATTGGACAAGGCAGTGCCAGAGTAGTGGAAATATTGTGTTGGAATGCTGCATGGGATAACTAGACAGCCAGTACCGGGAGGTTTCACTGAAAGCCTACCTTGCATGGCTAATTTCCTCCCAATGCACTCATGAGGCTGAATTCTTTCTCATTCTTGACCCTGCAATCGGCCTGTGAGAGTGGGTAATTCATTCTGAAAAGCCCTTTCTCTGGCATGACTGCCTGCCGCTGGGCCAAACATGGGGAAAAGGAGAGACTCCTTTCAAAAAAATCAAAACTTAGTTATCTAATGTGCCTCTATCAAACGTTGCCAGCTCCCTGGCACCACAAAGTGGCCTGACATTTTCAAAAATGTAAAATGGTTTCGTTGGG